ACAGCATCTAGGACACATGGCTACAAGATGTTCTCTCCAAAGGGCTTGGGCAGCCCTGACTCTGGCCCTGGTTGCAACATGCAGGGGCTCTCTTTAATCTTGCTCTTCCACCCCCAGCAGTTTTTCTCAGCTGCCCATGTTACTGGCATCTCTTAATTCCTGGGGTCTCCATTCACTTCACTCATGGCCCTCTTAAGGGCAATCCATGAGGACTCCAACCCTGCTGCACTTTGCCTGGCCTCCCAGGCCTGCCTTTGAAATCTCAATTGAAGCTTCCATAACCCCTGAACTTTAACCTCCTACATCCCTGCAGAACCAGAACCAGAAGGATGATGCCAAGGTCCCCTGCCAATTCACACCGGGGCCCCTAGAATCATGACTCCAATGGCCTCTGAGGGCCTGGGTGGCTCAGAAAGGTGAAACAATTCCCAAGCCTTCCCACCCCATGTGAGCAGGGCACCTCCATAATCTCTTCTCAAGAGAATTTTCCCTTCTACCTCCCTGAGCCTGCAATGGATGTGGTCTTGCAAATTTCTGAGATGCCCTCAAGGCAACTTACCCCATTGTCTCTGTGCCAAGTACTGAGCATCTCTTCAACAAACACACCTTGCTTGGACACAGTTTTCTTTTTGTGGTGGGGTGGGGGTAGTGTTTATATTTTTTTTGACATTGATGGGCCTTTATTTTACTTATTTATTTTTATGCAGTGCAGAGAATTGAACCCAGTGCCTCACACTTGCTAGGCAAGCGCTCTCCCACTGAGCCACAACCTCAACTCCTTGGACATAGTTTTATATCCAGTTTTTTTGGCTTTTCAGTCACTTGTGCATAGCTGTGACCAAAATACCTGACAAGAACAACTTAGAGAAGGAAAAGTTTATTTGGGGCTCACAGCTTTAGAGGTCTTGGTATAGACAACCAACTGCACTGTTCTTGGCCCAATATGACACAGCACAGCATGGGGGAAGAAGAAATCTGCTCAGCTCATGGCAGAGTCAAGAAGCAGGGAGAGAGAAAGAGAGGGAGGGAGAAAGGGTCCATAAGGAAGATGCACCCTTCCAGGACATGCCCCCAGTGACTCACCTTCTCCAGCCACATCCCAACTGCCGACAGTTACCAATAAGTCCATTCAAACTAAGATGGACTGATTAGGTTATAGCTCTCATAATCTAATGATTTCAACTCTGAATATTCCTGCTTTGGGGGTACACATTACAAACAAGTCATAACACTCTACTTCCTAGTCACTGAAGTCTTAAGGAAATAAGATGATAGTGCTATAAAAGGTTAAGGTTTTCTAAGATCCTTTTATAATTAAATGTTGCAATGTCCAGATTAAATCCCCATCTCTTAACTTTCTTTAAAGTACTCCTACACCCTTAAAGCACATTGTCTGAAAAGTAACAGTTCATTCATTTCAGCAGACCATCTTCCCTCCCCACTCCCACAGTCTTTCTCTCCTCTAGATGGAGTGCACCATCTAGTGGCCAAGTCACTGTCCCAGCAGGGTAGGACTCATGTTCAGATGGACTCTGCTACTAGCAGCAAGCATGGCTTTCTCTCTTTCCCACTTTCCAGTTGCCTAAACTGAGGACTCTCTACTATGAAGACAAAGGAATGGTCTGTCACTGTGAAGAAGTAAACAACAGGGACCAAAATTGTAGGAGCCTGAGAACCACCTCCTGCATTGAATAGAAGAGGCACCTTATGTGGCATAGAAACATTTGAGAAAAATGCTGGCCCTGAGTCGGACAGGTACAGAACCGAAGCGGATCCACATCAAGACGAAAAAAAGAGCCAGACACCTGGTATACACTGGTAATCCAGCGACGGAAAGGCTGAGGCTGCAGAACTGCAAGTTCCAGGTCAACCTTGGCAACTTAGCAAGATTCAACCTCAAAGAAAAATCAAATGCTGAGGATTTCGCTCAATGGTAGAGCTCTTGCCCAGTATGTAGAAGACTCTGGGTTCTGTAAGACTAGAAAAACGCCGCACCACACGACACAGATTACCAAAGAGTTTTCCCACTTTATTACAAAAGGCTGTGTGTTTATATAGGTCTAAGGAGAGGTCGCAGGGCTGAGGTAGATAACAGGTCGCCTGTTTATTGGCAAGCTCTTCCATATGTCAGTTCCGGGGCCCAAGAAATTAATTCTAATTGGGGCTAAGGCTTCCTACCGGCAGGGTTTGAACACTGGCGCCAGCGGCAGGAAGGTTTCGCGCCAATGAAAGAAACAAAGAGGAGAAGGAGGGTCGTTAGACGCCATGCTGGGGTTTTTCTCTGGGGTGCTGCTGCCGTTATATGTTTACCCAACAGGTTCAATCCCTAGTGTATGTGTAGGAGGGAGGAATCAAACCACTGCTCCCTGCTTTATGCATATGATATCTCAATATCGCCCAGTGCTCTGAGGTCATCTTCAACAGGAAGTCTACATCAACCATCCTAAAAGAAATTACAACAGCCCCCTCCTTTCCTCCCACAACATGTGCTAATCTACCAGTTTTGTGAGTAGACATCAAGCCCAAGGTTTTGTACATGCCTGGCAGGCACACGACCTGCTACCCCTGAGCCACACCCCAGTTCCTCTGATGCAATGTGCTTATTGCTAGAAAAATATGGCTGATCTTTGTTTCCTAACTGTGTTGCTAGGTTTTCGTCACCACTCCAAAATACTAGGGATAATTAACTTATAAAGGGAAATGACTTATTTTGGCTTATGCTCTCAGAGGTTCTAGTCCATGATCCCTTGGGCCTGTTGCTTACAGGTCTATGGGGAAGCAGCATATGGCACCAGGAGCACGTGGTGGAGCAAAACCACTCACCTCGTGGTTGAGAAGCAAGAGAGAACCATGAGGAGCCAGGTCCCACTAGCCACTTCAAGGACATGCACCCAACAACCAAAAGTGCTCCCACTAGGCCCCATTTCATAAAGATCGAACCACATCCTAATAACAGCATCCTGAGGACCAAGCCTTTAACATGTGACCTTTTGGGAAACAACCAGATTCAAACTATAGCAGTAGTCCACTGGGATATGTCACTATTATACCTCTCCTGCTCCACTAAAATGAAACCAATGAAGAAGGAAATGACTCCCCCCACCATACAACCACTCCATTCCTGTGCTAGTGATCAAAACCAGGTCCTTTCATATGTTGTGCAAATTTTCTAGAACGTATCCCGAATCCCCCTCAAAAAATTTTTTAAATGCATAAAACAAAGCATAATTTCCATCATCATAACAAAAAAAAAGACAATAAGTTTTAAAAGAAACCAATTACATTTATATGCAGGTGTTGAAATGTTACAACACATTTTGATATTGTCCCAAATGTGATTCTTTTTAAAAAATCTACTTTAAATTCTCTATAATCTTCCATCTATTCAATGACAACTAAGTATCACCTCAAAATGAAAAAAAAAAGTGATCTGGAGTTCAGACATGTGGCCCCCAAAGGATATGCAAATAACTGAGACAATGGGGTCAGAATTCAGGCAAGAAGTAGATTCAGAACATCCATCAGAGTTGCTTAATATTAAGTGGCAAAAACACAGAGAACCAGATTTTCCAGGCAGAGCTCTCACCCGTGAGTACTTCTAACTACTATGAATTAGGTTGGCTACAGGCAGAGGGAGGACTGTACCTTTGCTTTGGAATCTGGAAATAACTCAATCAAATGTAGCCATAAATAAGTGTTTTTCAACAATGCATAAAACACCCTTTTCAGTGGCTCTATGTGCACTTTTTACTTCCAATGCATTAGAGGGAAGAAAAAATGACTCTAAAGTAACCAAAGGAGAAGGAAGAGTTAGCAATATAAACAAAGAATTTTAAAAAGAGAAAGTGAGCAAGGAGCAGGGAGAACAGGGAAGTAGGAGTAGAAAGCAGTAAAATGGGGTGAGATGGAAGATGAGGGAACATTCACGACTATTTTGGGAATATGTTACACAATATTCCTTCCCTCTTGCCATTGTGAAAAGTGTCTGCCATAGATACTGTTTCCATCAAGTTCCCTTTTAACTAGAAGAGGGATGGGAGGAGGTGTTTCCTGAGGTAGATATAAATCCAAGCTTTTTGCTAAGATAATATATTCATCAGATCATATATTCTTACTTATCAGCTTATTTTTTGCTTATTTGTTTATTTTGCTTTACTTTATTATACTCAGTTGATTCTGATGCCAAATGTGATTCTTTAAACCATTAGATTCCAAGCTCTAGGGGCAGCCAGAAGAGTGCCCTGATCTCCAGGTGACCATGAGTCTAAACAATCCTTAGAGTCATTTGCAGTAACTTTATATGATGGGAGGTTGCCTGTCAGCTGTGTTGGTGACATAGCCACAGATATTGTCCATTCCAATACACGTGGACTGTAGCCCAGCTCCTAGCTGGAGGAAAGGTTGACTTGGTGGGAGAAAGCTGGGATCTCGCCCATGCAAGTGCTGGGGGCAGGGAAGTGGCTGTGGCTGTGTGCTGGGGTGGGGAGGTTTTCTGGTTAATTAGGCTTAGGAAGAGGAGACCTTGTTACTAGGGGGTCAAGGACTGAATGTGTATGGACCAAGGTGAATGGATGGGGATTCTAGCCAGAGGCCTAGGAGGAGCCCTAGGGTCCACCATCCCCACCCTCACACCCTCTTTCGGGTACTGGAAGTCTAGAAAAATAGCTTTAGGTTGGGCTGAACTCCCCACCCTCCATTATCCAATTCTTCCTTTCCCACCCTCATGGCCCAGGCTGACCCAGCCTGCCTCCTCCCTGGGACACCTCAGGCCCTCTCTCAGTTCATTAGCAAATGCGTGACATTGATGCTGGGGGGTTGGACTGGTAATGAAAGGGTCCACCCTGAGCACACACAGCCTGACCCACAGTGACCTGCTGTGACCAGTAATGCGACTGCATTCTTAGACAGCTGCTAAGCAGGTCGAGCGCCCAAGCATAAAAAGACCAGGATTGAGAAGACTGCCACCAGCTGTGGATCCCCTTACCCAGCGTGCCCCCACCATGGCCAGCCTCAGCCTCGCCTGCTGCCTGCTGGGCCTCCTGGCTCTGACCTCCGCCTGCTACATCCAGAACTGCCCCCTGGGCGGCAAGAGGGCCGTGCTGGAGCTGGATATGCGCAAGGTGAGCCACCCGACCCTCATCCTGCTATCTGCATGGCTATGCTGGGTGGCCTGGAGGCCGGACCACCTACAGGCATGACCCTCCAGTCCCAGGCACATCGGGGCCTCTGGCAGATTTCCCCTGTGCGTCCTGACCGTCGTCCATGCCAACCAGTGCCCTTAGGGACTGCCACCCCATGGAACCGCCTGCACTCCCCATCCCTGAATCCCAGGAATCTGCTCCTCCCACCCTGCAGGGGGGGGGGCCCACCTTCTCGGTCGCCTCCCCACTCCTGCTATCCCTCTTCCTCCCCGCAGTGCCTCCCCTGCGGCCCCGGTGGCCAAGGGCGCTGCTTCGGGCCCAGCATCTGCTGCGGGGACGAGCTGGGCTGCTTCGTGGGCACAGCCGAGGCGCTGCGCTGCCAGGAGGAGAACTACCTGCCGTCGCCCTGCCAGTCGGGCCAGAAGCCCTGCGGGAGCGGGGGCCGGTGCGCGGCCGCGGGCTTCTGCTGCAGCTCAGGTGAGCCCTGAGAGGCCAGCGCGGGGACCCGGGCTCGGTGGGATGCGGAAAAACCGCCACTGACAACAACTCTCATTGCAGATGGCTGCCGCACCGACCCTGCTTGTGACCCCGAGGTCGCCTTCTCCCAACACTGAGCTCTGCTATCTCAGGACCCTTTCCGACCGCACCCCTAGCTCCCCATAGCTGTTCCAAGAAGGAATGAAAATCCAGCAAACCCAGCGTGGTTGCACATGCCCATAATCTCCACTACCTGAGCACCAAAGCAGGAGAATTCCAAATTCCAAGGCCAGCCTCAGCAATTTAATGACACCCTATTTCAAAATAAAGGACAAAAAGGACTGTGATGCAGCTCAGTGGTAGAACAAGTGCAAGGCCCTGGGTGTAATCCTCAGTGCTGCAAATAAATCAATAAAGCAGATTTCCACAACCCTCCACTCTCCTGGTGTCTGATTGTCTGAAATGGGAGGAGGCATTGGGGATGGATTCCAGCTGGGCTGATGGAAACTCAGAAGTGACCCAACATGCTTTCACCATCCTGAAGACAAGAGGGAAGGAGCCCACGGGTGTCCAGGAATATAAAAACAGCCCTAGCTTCCCCTCCCAGCAAGGGCTGGGACCTGCAGCAGGTTCCCAAAAAACAAGGATCCAAAAGGACAGGATCCAGTCATCTGCACACAGAGACAGTGTCTGAGAGGGGAACAGGGGAAGGGGAAGGGACAGTGGGGATCCAATGACTCCCAGACTGTTGGAGAGAGGCTAAGTACCTACTCCTCCCTGGAGATTGAAGGAGTAGAGCTGGCCTAAGGGAGGGCACTTGACAGGGCTGAAACAGCTCACCACGTTTCAAAGAGCTGAGCCCTTTCACCCAAGGAGGCCACGGCGCCAAGCTGGGGAGATTGGGCTGGGGCACCCCAAGACTTTTGCCACACAGCTGGGTCTCAACTCAATGGCCTGACTCCTGCCTGTGTAGAATCAGAACTTGTCAGAGATGGGTACCACCCAGAGGGCCTGTAGTCCTCAGCACCCACAGCCACAGAAATGACCATCAAGCACTGAGGGGAGAGCAAACTGACAGAACCCTTCCATGTATACTGCCCACCTATTCCCAGGTCAAGGACCCTTTGGGGGATCAGATAAAAGCCCATCCCTCTCTCCCAGAACACGCCTCATTCACCTGCCCATGAGGCTGACCACACCTCAGAAGGCCCTGCTCACAGCCTACTCCAAAATAAGAGGAGCAGATGGTTCACTGTTAAAAATAAAACATGCTGGGCTAGGGTTGTGGCTCAGCAGTAGAGCACTCGCCTACCACGTTCGAGGCCCTGGGTTCCATCCTCAGCACCCCATAAAAATAAATAAAATAAATATATTGTGTCCAAATACAACTAAAAAATAAATATTAAATAAAAAATAAAACATGCTTGCCAGGTGCAGTGGTGCCCACCTATAATTCCAGTGACTTGGAGGATGAGGAAAGAGATTCAAAAGTTTGAAGCTCACCTTAGAACTTAGTAAGACCCTCAACAAGTCAGTGAGACCCTGTCTCAAAATAAGACAAAAGTTGGACTGGGGATGTAGCTCAGTGATAAAGCACCCCTGGGTTCAATCCCCAGTACCCAAAATAAATAAGTAGATAAAACATGGATTTTAGGTCAGTGCTGGAGCACTTGTCTAACATGGGAGCATCTAATTCCATCTCCAGCAGAAACAAACAAACAAACATATAAATAAGTCTTCCCATTTCTGTGGTTTTCTCACATACCAGAAACAACAAGTTCAGAAGGTCTATGCCCACACCCTACACCAAGAGAAGCAGATCATTCATTGTCTAATAAAAATAAAACATGTTGGGTACAGTGTAGCTCACTGGTAGAGAGCTTGCCTAACACAGGAGAGGCCCTGGGTTCCATTCACAAAGCTGTAAAAACTAACCAATTAATTAAATAAACAAACTATAACTAAATGACATTTAAATGTACCATTTCTTTGTGTTTTTTTTTCACATACCCGAGAAAGTGGGTAAAACAGCTAGAAAGTACCCCAAAACCCCACCAGTAATGGAAAATCATGTGTAGGGCTCAAAACAGAGTGGAAACACAAAATATATATATATACTTTGGAGGACTGTAAGATTTTTAATTACCAATTTTTTTGTGTGTTTCTAGGAATTTAAGATTTTTTTTAACAATTACAAAAATAGGCAGAACTAATTTATGCTGTAAGCAAAGAATGCAAGAAGCTATGTCATCAAAATGGGAAGCAAAAGAAATACAAGGAACAATAATGTGTGGTGTTCAAAGACAAGGTGGAGACAAAAATATATACATACTATTGAAAACTTAATGTTTTAAGTTAACCAATTAATTTTTTGGCACTGAAGAATGAAGATTATCTATAAACTGGGGCTGGGGCTGGGGCTCAGTGATAGAGCACTTGCCTAGCACATGTGAGGTCCTGGGTTCGATCCTCAGCATCACATAAAAATAAATAGATAAAATAAACATATTGCATCCACCTACAACTAAAAATATATTTTAAAAAATTATGTAAAACTAATCTACAGTGCTGCAGTTCTAGGGTGGCACAGTGATATGAAGGGGTGTTCCCAACAATACAGAAGTTCCCCAACTTCTGTATTGCTGATCACTGTTTGTTGGGCTGAAAACTGGACAGATGTGTTCAAATTATAAAATCAAGCAGCCAGGAGCAGTGGCCTACACTTGTAATCCCAGCTATTCAGGACTCTGAGGCATGAGGACTGCAAGTTTGAGACCAGCCTCAGTAATTTAGCAGCATCCTCAGCAACTTAGTAAACCTGTTACTCAAAAAAAAAAAAAAAAAAAAAAGACTGTGGCTGTATCTCAATAATAAAGTGACCCTGAATACAATCACAATTCCCAGTAACCAAAAAAGTAAAAATAAATATTAAACTATGGTCATGGAATTTGTTCATTCTTGTGGACTTGAATAAAATATTCATTCCATGTTAACAAGATTGTTATTGATAAGAGCCACATGCCCAGCCCTCGGAAAAAGATCAGAGATAGGGTTGTGGAAAACCTGTGGCCAACAGCAAACCCGACCATGATGGTTACTGGGGCTACGAAAGCTTATTCCTCTCCTCAAACCATGTCCAGTGAGCACCAGAGAGGCTTTGTCATGGAAAGGTGACTCATAGGAGAAATGGAGGTCCTATTCAAATCAACCATGGTGATGCCTGTGACATGCACAAATAGGTATTTGAGGAAAGTTGTCAAAGTTCTAAGGCCCCCTGGAACCCAGGAGTGTATCAGTCAGCTTTCACTTACTGTGACAAAATTCCTCACATCATCAACTTCCAAAGAGAAAGTTTATTTTGGCTCATGTTTTTAATTGGTCTCCATCTGTGGTTGGTTACCCAAATGCTCTTGGATGTATGGCCAGGAAGTCATCATGGTGGGGAGGAGAAGAAGAGGTGAAGTCATTCACCTCATGGCCAGGAACAATGAGAGGAAGAAGAGGAGCTGGGTCCCAATATCCCCTTCAAGGGCAGGTCCCAGTGAAAGGAAAAACCCCCCAACAGGACCCACCTCTTAGAGTTTCCACCCCCTCCCAAGAGTGCTAAGCCTAGGACTAAGTCTGTAGCACATGGGCATTTAGGGACAAATTGTAGTTTGGAGCTTGGAGTAGCCTGACACTGCAAAAACAGTGAATCTTACCCTATGCAAATTTTACCTGAAAAAAACAAAACAATACAAAAACAGAAAGCCAGGTAGTGGACTCTGCTTGTCGTCAGTCCCATGTACTCAGGATGCAGAGGCAAGAGGTTCACTTGAGGCCACAGTTTTGAGACCTGCCTGGACAATACAGTGACACCCCTTATCAAAAGAGAGAGGGCTGGGGATGTGGCTCAAGTGGTAGTGCACTCGCCTGGCATGCATGAGGCCCTGGGTTTGATCCTGAGCACCACATAAAAATAAAATAAAGATATTGTGTCCACCTAAAACTAAAAAAAATAAATATTAAAAAATAAATAAAACCTTGGATCTTTAAGAGAGAGAGAGAGAGAGAGAGAGAAGAAAATAAAAGGAAGGGCTGGGAGTGCAGCTCAGTGTGAGAGTCCTTGCCTAGCACCAGTGAGACCCTGGGTTCCATCTACAGCATCACACAAAAGAAAAGAAGAAATAGAAAAAGACCTGACAACAAAGAATGGGGCAATGTCATCCAAAGAGAAAACCAAAGAAATACAGGGGACAAATGTTGATATTGGGCAAAATATAATCAAGGAGAAAGATCATTAGGGACATCTGATTGCTACATGCAGGTAAAAACAACAACACATCAAAAAGATACTATGAGCACATCTGTATTTAGCAATGTGCCTGAAAATACAGATCAAGCAACAAGTGAGAGAACAATGACAAAGAAAGGAAAAACGGCTTTTTTTGGTTGTTGTTGCTATTGCTGGGGACAAACCCAGGGTTCATGCAGTCTCGGCAACTGCTCTACCACTGAGCAGCTTGCTCCACCACCAGCCAACAATTTATTTGGAGTGTTTCAACATACACTCACAAACATCAATCTGACAAAATGAGCAAAGATATACAAGACTTTAATAACACCATTTAAAACTTTGAACTAACAAATATCTAGAAAACATAGCGAAAAGCCAGACAATGTGTGATTTGGGAGAGGGGAACACATGAAATACAAAAATCCAACCATGGACAAGCCACCAAAGAAGGCAATTGGTACAGAACCGACACTGTACAGATGATGTTCTCAAATCTCAATGCTTAAAATTAAAGATGACAAAAGACGGCTGAAGAAAAGGCTCATGTGGCCACACTCTATACACCTATTTCAAAGAGCCCTTGGGTGAGCATGGTGATCTTCAGGATATCACCAAAGGTCAAAGGAGGAAAGCAGGACACAGAGGAAAGCATGCAGCTTTAGGTAAATAAGGGAAGGCAAGAAGTGCTTCTTTGATCTCTTCTGTGCTGGGAAGGGGACCAGGACCTGGTATATGCAGACCCTCTCCCACTGAGCACCACCTCCAGACTCTGCCTGCTTCTTAATAAGCTAAATATTGAACTTGAGAATGGTGAGAAATCAACAGAGAAAGCCCAAACATACATGAAGGAGAAACCCAAAATAACAAAGGACAGAAAACACTTAAATAAAACACAAACAAGAGCTAGAGATGGAGCTCAGAGGTAGAGCACAGGCCTAGCCCATGGGAGGCCCAGTGCCTGACACTGCAAAAACAGAAAACAGAAAAAGCAAACACACACACAAAAAAAAAAAAAAAAGAAAGAAAGAAAGAAAAAGAAAAAGGAAAAAGAAAAAAATTTTAAACATAAAATTATTATATAAAAATATTAAGGTAATCACGGATCTGGGGTTGTGGCTCAACAGTAGAGACTCATGAAGCATGTGCAAGGCCCTGGGTTTGATACTCAGCACCACATAAAAATAAATAAAATAAGGCACTGCATCCAACTATGATTAAAAAATAAATATTTTTTTTAAATATTAAGGTAATCAAATAGCCTTTGCTGAGACTCACCAAGATTTTTCTCCTTCTTTTTTTTAAACACTGGGTTTCACTAAGTTACCTAAATTGACCTCAAACCTTAGATCTTTCTGTTTCAGTCTCCCCAGCAGCTGTGATTAGAGGCAGCACCACCCTGCCCAATTGGGAGAATTTTAAAAAGATGCTCACATTTCAATTTTATGAACTCACAAGTGTGGAGACCTGGACACTTCTCCTTAACTCTTGACATGTGTCACATGCTGACAGAGCCCTTCTGTCCCTGGAGAGACTGAAGAGACAGAGCAAGAGCTACCTGACACTTGTGGATATTCCCCCCTGACTGACTCTGCAGCTGGGTCATGGGGCTCAGGAAAGGAAGCAACATGGAGCAAGTTGGCAGGGGGCAGAGGTGACTCCTTCTCAGAGGTAGGCGTGTGACTGTTCTGAAGACAGGTGGTAGAAAAGGAGTCTCTGGGACTGTGCCTAGGAAGAGGAGGGGTCTGAATCTCACTGTGAAACTGTCCCTAGTGCAGACACCACCACCAGGCATTAGATCCAGTACAGCCAAGCCACCTGCTCTTCTACCCTCTTCTGACTGGAGGTTAATAGATTCCTGTGAAGTCTAGCCCTGCCCTGGCCCTAGCCTACCTGGAGGCAGAGCCTCACAGAGAAGAAGCAGGGACAGGAGCTGGCCTATCCCCCACCCTACCCAGCTTCACCCAGTCTCGCTGAGTGCCTTCACTGCACAGGATGCCAGGGCCAAGTCAGGGGTGGGACACGGGAATCTCTGAGGAGACCACAAGAGAGCTTGAACTGGCCAGGGCACATCTGTCCAGGGCTGACCCAGGTTGAGCTGCTTGGGTCATAGGATTTGGCCAAAGTCTTGGGGGCAGGGGCAGCACTTAGAGTGATTTCTTTCTGCCTGGGATCCCTCCAGGCCTCAGTCTGGCAGACCATCCTCTGACAGAGGATCCCCAAGAAAATGCAACCTCCTGTGGCCCCCAGGCCTGGAGCAGGAGAGCCCAAGGAGGGGATACTGACAGCAGAGGGACAAAAAGAGAAAAGTAGGAGGTGAGAAGACACTGGAGACAAGTGGGAGATGGAGGGGCCTGAGAGAGAAGCCAGAGAGAGCCAAGGAGAAGGGAGGTGAGGGGACAGAAAGAAATGTAGGGGCAGAGGCAAAGTGCTGGTGACATCTTTGCCCTGATGTTGAGTGTGTCAAAGGGCAGTCAGATTGAGTGCACCTAAGTGTGTGGACACTTGTGCCTGTCTATCATCACGTCCCCTGTGTGTTTCTTTGGGCATCTGCGGTTCTGAATGTGCTTCTCAGGGAGCCATTTGGTTGTGGTCAAGAGTCACAGGCACGCCCATAGCAGTTGCTTTCCTCTTTCTCCGAGTGTGTGAATGGTGGTCTGGGGCTGTTTCTGTGCCGATAGTTTCTCAATGGGGTTTGCCTGCCACTCTGTGGAAAGTCCCTAATGGTGGGTCCACCTGCAGAGATAACAGGAGGACTTCTCCCTACTAGGATGAAGTAGATCTTGCATTGGGAATTGGGGACCTTCGTGTCCTAGTCTCCTGGAATGAAAATGGGTACTGATAGCTGCCCTTGGCTTGTCCCCTTCTGCCTTTCTCACTCTTCCTTCATTCTCTAGCTTCTGCGTCTCTCCGTTCATCTGCCTTCTCTGTCTCAGTCTCTCTTGCCCATCACGTCTTCTCCCTCCCTGCCTTTACTTCTTTGTCCCAATTGGAGAATCCCCAGCCCACCAACTCCAGGGTCATCCTTTGCCTCTAGCCTTTTCCCTCCGCCTTCCCCTAGGTGGCCCTGTCCTCTGTTTTCACATTTCCCTCTTCGGTTTCCAGGATCGCTTCCTCTATAGCATCTCTCCCTTCTTTGGGGTGGATCTGCCCTCGACCACGGCTGCAGGAACTGACTGGGTCGGGACCGGGGTCCGCGCCACACCCACTTTCCTCTTTCCTCCCGGGCCCAGAGACTGAGACAGACACTCTAGTGCATTTACAAAGATTTATTTTCGGTGCCACAGGGGCTGTCGCGGGAGGGCGGGGGCAGGGCGGCGGGAGGGATCGGCTCAGTCCGCGCCGGGCTTGGCGAGCTCGATGGGCTCGGCGGGCTCGGGCGCCCCCGCCAGCTGCAGCAGCCGCAGCAGCAGGGCCCCCGTGGGCCGGTCCAGCTGCGTGGCGTTGTTCCGGTCGCTGGCGCGGGCTCGGCGGCGAAAGCCCTCGCGGCACTCTGGGTCGCTCACACAGCTCTCTGCGGAAAAGGACAGTGTGAGCGCGGGCTCCCCGGGGCTGGGCACAGATCAGGGGCCTCGACCTCAGTGTCCGCCCCCCCCTCCCCCTGTCCCCGGAACCTCCCCGCCTGCCTCCTGAAAGCGCGCACCTTCGTTGCAGCAGATGCCGGCGGCCGCGCACCGGCCCCCGCTCCCACACGGCTTCTGGCCCGACTGGCAGGGCGACGGCAGGTAGTTCTCCTCCTGGCAGCGCAGCGCCTCAGCTGTGCCCACGAAGCAGCCCAGCTCGTCCCCGCAGCAGATGCTGGGCCCGAAGCAGCGACCTTTGCCCTCGGGGCCGCAGGGGAGGCACTGCGGGAAGGAAGAGGGTGAGCGGGAGAGGGCAAGCGGTGAGGACGGTGGAGGACCCCAAGAGGCAGATTCTGGGGTCCAGGGCTTGGGAGTGTGCGTGATACCATGGGAGCTGCAGGTGCCGGGGTGCTGTCTGTGCCTGACAGTGGTCAAGAGCGTGTGAGCAATCTACTAAACTCAGGTTTTCCGTGGACTGGAGACAGCTCTCAGTAATAGCTCTCACCGTCCTCCCCTGAGTTATGGGAGGGGCTATAGGAGCGGTTCGTCATCTTTCTCTTCTGCTCTGGGGTCATTGCAGTTGTGCACCCCTTAGTCATCTGCCCACCCCATCCTCATTCCAGACCTTCCTCCTGCCCCATTACTCAAGCTTGGTCCTTATGCCTTGTGGCCCTCTGGATCATCCAGAGCACATCGTGGCCCTTCATCCCATTTTCTGGCCTTGCCCTTGCAACCCACCACTAACCCTCAACAGGGGCAACTCTCTGGTCACCAAACTATGGCCAGTTAGGTGGGTGCCAGGGGTCTGAGCTCTAAAGGAGGGCAGGGACACCTGATTCCTCAAAAGGAGAAAAACCCATCTGCCCAGCCTCGCTTATTCTACAGTTCAACATGGAGCCACCTGTGACCTGGGTAGAATTGAGTATGGTGATCAAATTTCCATCAGCTCTGCCACAACTGGAATAGAAAGGAATCCGCTGAACACACAACACTAGAGAATTGGGCTAGACACCAAGCAGAACTTCCTTACAGGATGCTTGGATGGTCCTCCTTCTCAGGCCAGCTCAGATCAATGGCCATCTGTGTGTGGGGTCAACCACCTGTGGCTGAGAACAGCTGGTACTGGGTGGGGAAGGCCTGGGATTGCAGGTGGGACAGAGCCTCTGATCCTCCATCTAGTCTGGATGAGAGGACCCCACAGGCTCAGAGACCTCCCCACCACATTCTTCCTGATCCAGCCCCAAGCCCAGTTACTGGGGAAGCATCTCTTTCCTATGTCCCTTGTCTACTTAGGGTCTATGTCCAACAGCCCCTTCTGCTCCTCCCAACTTGCCCAGCAGCCTGGTCCCTTCTGACCTAGCCTGATGGCCCTCTGCCCAGCCTTGTCTCTCCCCTTAAGACTGGCTTCTCCCAAGGATTCCCTCCTTCCTAGCCCATACCATTCCTGGGGACTGCCCACTCCCAGCAGCCCTGAGATGGGCCATGGTGCTACCTGTCTCAGCTCCAGGTCGGACATGGCCCTCTTGCCACCCCTCGGGCAGTTCTGGAAGTAGCAAGCAGAGGTGAAGGCCAGCAGGCCGAGGAAGCAGGCGGGCAGCATGGTGTCGGGCATCCTGGCGCTCGCAGTACAGCACTGTGCAGAGCTGCTGGGCTGGCTGTGTGCTGCTGCCTTGGCAGGCTGCCTATTTATGTCTGCAGGTGTTCCTTCAGAGGCGATGTGACTGCCATCCCCCCTCCCCAGTGGCTCCCCAGGAGCCCTCAGCAACCAGGTCCCAAGCCATCAGCAGTGATTCATGTGTCTAGGGACACACGTGGGACTCAGTGCAGAAGATGGTGGAGGAGGGAGGCAGGCCACTGGAATGTCATTGGCCATAGTGTGACAGGAACTGCCGCAACTGTGACTACAACTCTCTAGTCTCTGGAAGAGGGACAAACTGGGGGTTACCCAGAGACCATCTGAGCACTCTGACTGCCCAGAGGAGACGGGGGTCAAAGGACCCCTTCCACTTAACACAGCCCTTATAGAGGGGAAAGAGAGGCCCAAGGGGCTGGTTTGCTGGGAGCAGGGTAAGGCTCCAGACAGGAGTGGTGATGCAGGGGACAATCACATTATCCCTGCAAAAGGACAAATTCCTGGGAACAACACAGCAAAGGTGGCCAGGTCAGAGGACTTGGGAAAGGGAATTCCTGTCTGCAACCTCTTGAGCAAGGCAGCCACAGTCATGGAGTCAAGGGAAGGTTACAGACCACAGGACATTGTTCTCTTGGTGATAGTGTGGGTGGCAATCTTCTGGGGGAAGCTCTGGACACTCCCACCACACCAAGACCCTACAGAGCAAGGTAAAGGGACTAAGACCCTGAGACTGTGGGCCTTGGTGTCAACTTAGTGACATGTCCCCCATCTCAGTCCTCCCAGTCAGGAACATGGGTTGGGGAGCTACTGTGGGGAGCAAGAACTCCAGAGTCTGTAAGGTCCACAGGTGCAAGGAGAGCCCCATGGGAACTGACAGCCTCCTGTTCCAACCCCCTCCAAGACCCTAGGGTAAGTTCCATGTCAGGCCAGGGTGGGAGTGGGATCCTAAGAACTCTGGGCCTCCAGTGAAGGGAAAGGAACCACACCAATGGACCCAGCCCAGGAAGAGAACTTTGTGTTCCTAATCTCAGGCTGGCAGATATAAAGGGGTTGAGGCCTCCCTTCCCCCACGCCACTGGAGTGCTGCCTGCTGCCCTGGTCTTGGGCCCAAGATGGCCACCATGGGTCTCAGGCTATGCACACTCCCCAGCTCTCCCAGCCCCCACAGGCTCTTGGCTGCTTCTTTAAGCACTTCAAGTAAACTCCAGGCGGTGGTGTGGAGTCCTCCTCCCCACTAAGTGTAGTCATGAGGGTGCTTCCCACACTCGGGACCCGCCAACAGAAATGACCCCTTAGAGTCTTGAAGAGACTTCAAGAGGAAGTGCTGAGCAGTTCTTATCTCAAGGACATGGGAAAGCACTGGAGCATCCTGATTTGGGCAGGTCACTGACTTCTCTGTGCCTCACTTTCCTCCAGTGTAAAGTAAGAAGAGCAGTAGCCACTGCACGGTGTTGTTGTGGGCACTGAATATTTAATATGCAAAAGCTTGAAAAAAAGTGCTTGTGCCATTGTGCAGTTAATTAATAGTAGTATTGTATTATGAATGGCATTCTTAAAAACACAAAAAATTTTTCCAGACAGAGCAGGTTTCTAAGTCACACCAGGAAGAACATTTTCATTCCACCTGTGCTGGAAACAAGCTGGGTTATAAACCATTGTCTATGGCTCTGTGGGTTGTAAGACAGGCCAAGGTCATGTGTGCCTGCCCCATACCTTACCCACTCTACCTTTTGGGTTCAGGTTACCATCTGAAAACACATGAAGCCAAACTGACTGAGGGGCATAAGCCCTGGGACTGGCCAGGACATCCCTGTTTCCTCAGCCATGCCTGTCAGGGTCATCATTCTTAGACTGATCTCACACACCAGACCCCATTGAAGACCCCAAACTCCTCCTAGGTACAAATAGATGCCAGAGAGCCTACTTCCCTCAATACCCAATACTCAGAGCCTTCAGTGAATGGGAAAAGTCTCTTTACTGTTGACTGATTACATTTCAAATATAGCATCTCACATGTCATATGGACCTCCCAGAAAATCCACATTCCTACTACACTTCCCTTGTAATTACACCTTCCAAAATGACTTTTCCACGCTTTCTGCAACCTTATATTCCCTATGCCTCAACTCCTGATGTTGATTCAGACATCTTTGAAGAAGGGAAGACAGCTCTTTAACCCCTCCCCATCACATGTACCCTCCCTCCACTGTCTCCGAAGGTTAGAGCAGCATGACCAGTTTGGTTGCAACTACACCCTTCTGAAACAAGTCATGTGGTTAATATGATGACCCTTCTATCTCAGAACAACTTTTTGTGTTCCCTTGAGTTAATGATTGCCTTTGTTTTTCATCTGTGGCCACCTGCCATACTAATCCACAAATCAACATATTCTTCAACTGCCATCAGTTGAGGTTTCCGCCCACACCAACCCACTGAAACTCTTCTTAGCAAGGTCATAAACTTGCTCCCAGATGTGGTAGGCAAGACTAGGTCCTCACTGTCCATATTCCCTGTGCAGCATTCAACATGGTTGTGCTGGCCCATTTCTAAAACACATTTTTTTTTTTTGCTCCAGTGAAACTACCCTTACCAGATTTTTCTTTCCTAACACTGGGCACTTCTTCCAGTGTCCTTTTCTGCCTCCTCCTTCTATATGTTCCATTATCCCAGGACTCAGTCATCCAATCCCTTTACTTTTCTTTTTTGAGGTGTTTTTATACACTTTATATAAGCTGATGATTCCCAAATCCTTATCTCCATCCTAGGTCTCTCTCCCAATTATCAGACTTACAGTCACTCAACTGCCCAATGACACCTCCCTATGGATATCCAACGGGCCTCTGAGACTTAACATAGTCAAACTGGGCTCTGGATTCTCTGCTGACCCCTGCATCTCCCAAGCTTCCCCAACTCTGCCATCAACCACCATCCCACCAGCTGCTCCTCCCACACCTGACTCTTACCCTACTCACCCTGCTCCTTCTCTTCCCTCACCCTTGTCAGTCCTACCTCTCACATGCATCACAACTCTGACTGCTTCTTGCCACTCCTGCTTTGGAAACTCCCAACCTGTCATTTTCTTGTTCTAGAGGGCTTTGCTCCCCTCACAATACTGGATTGGCTTAAATGACTTCTCTTAAGAGCAACCTTCCCTGACTCTCCTGTCCAGAGCATCCCTCACTCCCACCTGTCATTTTCTCACTTGGGTCTATGTTAATACATCGCATGGTACCTACAGTTTGCTGTTCATGATTTATCTTTTCTCTCCCACTCCCCCATCTCTTTACATATATGTCTGTATGGCCTTTATGAAAAACCCAAAGCAGAAAGAACTCCATCCTTCATGTTCAGTACTGTAGCCCCACTCCTAATAGTGTTTTCCACATGGGGGTTTTCAATACCTTATGGCAAGAAGGAAGGGTGGTAGGGAGAGAAGCCCTGAGTATCAACCTCAGGTCTCCAGGGAGTTGCTGGGTGACATTCAGCAAGTCACACATGTTCCCAAGCTTACTTCCTTGATGTAGTAACCCCACTTCCTACCTCACTGACATCTTATCGGAATCGCATAAGTGTGCCAAAAAGGTTAAGATTTTCTATGATCCTTTCATAACAAAATGTTGCAAGCCTCCCAGTAAAACCCCCAATCTCAGAATATTCTTTAAAGTAGTCCTTTATCCTTAGGCCAGGTGGTCTAAGAACAAGTATGGCAGGGTGGGCCTCATTTTCAAGTGGACTGTTCTGCTTTCAAATAGACAGCTTCCACTTTTTTCCATGTTCCAGTTGTCTTACCTGAGGACCCTGGGTCACTAAGGCACACAAATGCTCTGTATTTGTGCAGACCTAAACCGAGGAGAGCAAAAGTTGTAGAAGCCTGAGAACCACTTCTGCGTTAAAATGAGGAGGGCACCTTAAGCGGGGATAAATATTTGAGAAAAATGCTGGACCCGAGTCCCACAGGTATGGAACTGAAGAGGACAGATAGCTGTCCTCAGAGCACATCTCAAATAGACTGAAGAGAAACAAAGTAAAATCGGGTTGTGGGAAGGAGGAAAAAGATCGAAATATTTATCAACACTCTAAAGTGGATTGTTTTAAGGTTAAAAGAAATCAGAAGTTAAAAGTCCTTAGTAATTGTTAATATGCATTGCTGGGCACTATAGTGCATGCGTATAATCCCAAAGACTCAGGAAGCTGAGGCAAGAAGATCTCCCATTGGGGTTAGCCATAGCAATTTAGTTAGACACTGTCTTGAAATAAAACATAAATATGGGTGGAGGTCGTGGCTCAGAGCTAGAGTACTCACCAACCATGTGTGAGGCACTGGGTTCGATCCTCAGCACCACATAAAAATAAAAAAAGAAAGAAATATGTTTGCCTATAACTAAAAAATAAATATTAAAAAAAACATAAATAGCTCAGCTGTAACCCCTCTCCACCCGAATTCAATCCCCAGTGCCAGGAAGGAAAAGAAAATCTTAACAATAACCCAAGTTTAAAGCAAAATAAAGGAGAAAATGCACGTTTGGTAAAATCTTCTATATTGAAACCTTGTACAGTGGCGAATTGGTTGTATTCGGGAATTTTCATCAAAAAGCTGCAGATCCCGATGGCCAGGTCTGCTGCATTCCCTAGGGACCGGGGGCCCTGACCCTGCGGGTGGGGTCAGGTAGATGAGGACAGATGTTTCCTTTGCTGGACTGGGGAGGAGTCAGTCCTGTATTCATCCCTCTTCACCCAAAAGCAGCCACAGAAGGCGTCTCCTGGGCGGGGAGATTGGTACCGTTAGTCACTAGTTAAGACTAGAAAGTTTGAGGGCCTCGGGGACCTAACCCGCGGAAGCGCGGCGGCCGGGGTCGCTCACAAATTGTGGGGCGCAGCGCTGGCGCACGGCGTGCCTGACCCGCCGCCCTAATGAGGCGTTCTGTGCAGGTACCTCCGGGAGCCGCGGGATCGCGGGTCGGCGCCACTGGGAGCGCAGCGCCCGGAATCACTTAGCGCCATCAGTCGCGGG